GCTGGAGGACTGGGAGGACAGATGCTGGAGGACTGGGAGGACACATGCTGGGGGACTGGGAGGACACATGCTAGAGGACTGGGAGGACAGATGCTGGAGGACTGGGAGGACACATGCTGGAGGACTAGGAGGACACATGCTGGGGAACTGGGAGGACAGATGCTGGAGGACTGGGAGGACAGATGCTGGAGGACTGGGAGGACACATGCTGGGGGACTGGGAGGACAGATGCTTGGGGACTGGGAGGACAGATGCTGGGGACTGGGAGGACAGATGCTGGGGGACAGGGAGGACACATGCTGGGGAACTGGGAGGAGATATGTGTAGCAGTATATTTTCCCCCACTACATTAAACTCGGTATTTTGGGAGGAGCTAATGTGGGAGGAGTAAAGAGAGGAGGAGGAGCTAGGAAAAGCAGAGGAGAGAAGAGATGTAGGAGCCATGGAGGACCACGCATATATCGAGAGCAGTCTTGGGAAACAACTTACATCTTAAGGTTAGATATTGGAAAACACCTCTAATTGTGTGGGCATCTTGTTATTTGAACATTACGAAATATATAAAGCTATTGGATAATCTTTAAACATTAGAGTCTCATTTCTATCAAGCACCGTGTGGATGGCGGGATGTTCTGGGCTCAGCCCAGCCTTGTGGAGACAGCATGGTAGATTGGCAGAGTCATCTCCCATGCTGGATGCAAAGGCCAGTGTTCTGGTGCTCCAGCTGCTCATGGCCTCAGGCCTTGCCTAGGCGGGAACATGGTGGCATCCTAAAAACAAACCAGATTGGGTGACATCAATTTAAATTTTAACTGTAACAGACATGTGTCCTCCAAGCATGGCTGTTGGACTCATGAACTCATAGCCGCCCTGGTAACCTGCCCAGGATCAAGGCAGCCAATATGGGGGCAGGGCAGGAGGGAGGGCTCACAAGGCCTCACCCCTAACTGAGGAGCTTTTGACAGCTGCTAAGGGAAAATAATCACTCTCCTTTGTGGGTGTGGATGGCCCATGTATGTATATGCAGCATTAACTGAATGATACGTATATCTCAGGACTTTAAGTTGGAGGGGGATATGCTTGTACTTGGGGAATTGAAGGGATTTGGGGAAGGAAATGTGGGTGGATATGATATTCAACTGCCTACATGTATGAAAGTCTCAAAGAGTAAATAAAAGAATAAAAATAAAAAGCTGAGTGTAACAGCACATATCTGTAAGCTCAGGGCTAGGGAGACTGAGACAGGAGGATTCAGTTTATCCTGGTTCCTGAGCTCTAGGTTCAGTGGGAGACCTTATCTCAAAAACTAAGGCAGAAGGTAAGAGAGGAACGCAGTCAACACTGATGTCTCTCCTTCACCCATGTACGCTCACACACACGACACACACAGACAGAGACAGACATCACAGACATGTACGTGGGTGGTCTGAAGTCTGTTGATTTACCAGGTTACATTTTATCAAAGTCCACCCCAAGCTGTGCTGTCTAGATCACTTATCCTTTCATTAGTCATCGAACATTGTACCTCCCGATCAGAATGTATGGTGAAGATCCGATAGTCTGTTCCCTGGCTAGGCTGGTGTGTGAATTGGTACATTTTCATTTCTATTGGGGTCTTGAAAGGTTGCAATGGCCACATGGTGACCTTGGGAAGGTGGCAAAAACACAGAGTTTAGTTCTATTGAGGCAGTGGCCGGTGTCCTTAGAGACTAGCTCTTACCCATGGCTGAGTAGGGAGGAGCCTTGTTCGTTTGCTTTCTTTTCTTTGTGAGACATTATACACTATAGCACAGGACGATCTGAAAATCATTATGTAGCCCAGGCTGTCCTCAAATTCCAGGAAAGCCTCCTGCCTCAGCATCCCAAGTACTAGAATAGCAAGTGTGAGCTACCACATCTGATTTTGACTTTATTGAGCATTTACCATGCCACCTGGTTTCACTGGGACAGGATGGGTGAACCAGCTCCACTAGAATTCCCCTGTCTGCAGGAGTATCCGGTTGTTCTGTGTTTAAGCCCACAGACTATGGGGAGCACATACATTTATAGAAGCAGACATTTCCCTCTGCCTCCTATAGAAGGTAGCTAATTTTAACTGGCATGGAATCAGAGCTATGACAGCATCTAAATAGTAAGTAGACTTTGAAGAATTAGAAAGGAGGTTGTCTCAAAGACAGGGTTTGTCTCTAAACTAGTAAAATTAATAACGGGTACTGTTTTCTTGTTCTAGTAAAGGAGGTGTAGCTAGAGAAGGCCAGAGCCATAATTCTATTACTTATATAGCAGATTGTGTTGTATGAGTTAATGCGATATTACATAGTACTTCAAAATTAATTACATTGGGGAAACCAATGTTCTCCTGATGTACATATAGATAAATGAGTGGGATAAAGAAAATTAAAATACTGGGGGACGAGGGGGGACTTGACATTGTTGTATACTGTAACTCTGCAATTTAAAGTTAAAATGAGTGTATATGTTCTGTGTAAAGCAAACACATTTTATTAATCAAATATTATGCTCGATCTTATCTTGTTTTGTAGGACCAGCAAAAATCTACCAATGTGGTCTACCAGGCCCATCATGTAAGCAGGAACAAGAGAGGACAGGTGGTTGGAACCAGGGGAGGATTCCGAGGATGTACCGTGTGGCTAACAGGTATTAACATGTACACATGCATGTGCGTGTGTGCGAACGTACATTTTTCAAGGAGCTTTTTGTAAAATCGAAACCTGATGTGTGAGATGATTTTAAAGAACTCAGTGTTTATTTGAACCTTTGAAAGAGTGGAGTGGAGAGCTTTGTAAACACCCAGCTGTTGAGCATCACTCTCCTACCCGTGAGAACTAGGGTCTGACAGGCTGAGAGGCCACTAGCTGTCAGTTACCATTCTTTGGCAGCACGAGATGAGACAGCAGATTGTGCCACCTTTCAAGTCTAAGGAGCTTCTCTTGTTCACCCCTTAAGCAAATTTCCTGCCACCGGAAATGGGTTTTTCCTAATTTGACAGGGAATATTTGTCAGCCTGTTGGGTTACCGATGTTTAGAGCTAGTTCTCTGATGTTTTGCTGTTCTGGAGGCCTATTCCATTAACAACGTTAAGAATCTGTGTGAGAAAGACTGCTAGGAATCTCATCTTGGCCACTGGTTGTCTTTTGTCTGTAGAAACAACGTTCTATCTCTGAGATGACCCAGTGAATGTCCCCTTTCTTGTTCTTTTTGATCTACAAGTTCCAAAGCTAGAGATTAGCAATGAACTTGCAATTAGGCCTTAAGACCCTGATAGCCCAGGTCTGAGCCCTGACCTGATGGCTGTAGTTGACATAGCCAGGATTTAGAAAGGGAAACCCAGGACTTTCCAGAAAAGGGAGGGGCCCAGAAACAAACACATGTTTATTTGGGCTGTCAAAGAGGCACACGCGCTGTTGTCCGCTCACTCAGGAAAAGGTCTAACCTGACAGCAGCAAGAAGGAAGGTGGAGCTGGAGGACCTGCCTGCAGTTTCTCCTGCTTGCTTTCTGAGTGCACCGTTTCTGGTTTGTGAGATAAGGTTTCACTCTGAAGCCCAGGCTGGCCCAGAACGATCCAGCTGCTTCAGCCTTTCAGTGCTGAGACTATAGGGCTGTGGGCCACACCCAGGCTTGTTTGTTGTTTTCTGTTTTCTTGCTATTCTTGATTTTTTTTTTCTCCTGGTACTGGTGGTTTCCTGGTTTTATTCACAGCTGGGATTTGCATCAAAACAACTTCATGCGTCTTTTAGTGGGAAGCCAGACAATGCCCATGGAGCCCCAAGTGCCAATATGACAGGCTTGCCTGGTGGGACACCTGCAGTGCTCCCCAGCTCCCTCTGTGAGATGGAGTTTTTAGCAGCAGATACATCTGTATTCCGAGGCTCTGCACCCACTCCTGCTTGCCTTCCCCAGCTCTTCCTAGGGAAGCTCACTTTTCTGCTGAGACCCTCACATAAAACTTATGTTTTCTAATGTGTACTCTTTTTGAAAAGAAAAACAAAAAACAAAACAAAACAAACAAACAAAAAACCTGGTAGGTTGGATATGGGGAAAGTATAAAGGATTTCTTTCCTCTGATTTTTCTTCTCTTCACCTTTTCCAAATTTAATTTTAAGCCTGTGCTTCAGAGGTTCTATATCAGCCATGTAGACCAAAAGAAACCAATTAATCCAGAGGCTTAGATTTGAGAAACCAGACCACCTGCCTCAGCTATGTGGTGTTGCACAAGTCATTTAACCTCTCTGAGCCCCAAACCCTGGTTTATAAAGAACTAGTGCATATTGGGCCCTGCTTGACTCATGGGCGTTGTAGGTGGAGGTAAATGAAATACAGCATCAATACATTCAGCCCAGAGCTTGCCCCCAGCCAAGACAGCACTACTCCAGCGTGTCCCAGAAGATAGCCAATGCCCAGCTACACGGGGACTGAGGGGAGGCCTTTGTTCTCCAACAGCTAAGGGAAATGTAAGGAAATTTAATTTCATTATTCGGATGCAAGAGGACACATCAGAGAGTCAAGGTTCCTATCTTCCATTACTTACCACCTGACATAAATTCTAAGAGGAAGCTGTTACTGAGATCTATTCAGAAGAAACTGTAGTGATTTGGTAAAACTTTCCAGAACCTTCCTTGGCCATATCTTCAATGCTCCTCTGTCAGAGTCAAGAGTGTGACTTTAAAATGAGACTGAAAACCTAGGGACTTTCCTCCTGTAGAGCCCTTCCCTTCCCTCTCTGTGTTTCCTTTCCCCTGAGCTCTGTCATAGCTTTATGGTTTCCTTTTCTATGTGCACATGCATGCACTTGAGCGCACATATACCTACACACATGTACATGCACATACACACATGTACATGCACATACACACATGTACATGCACATACACATGTACATACACACATGTACACGCACATACACACATGTACATACACATACATACATGTACGTGTACATGCACCTACACACATGTACATACACATACACACATGTACATGCACATGCACACATGTACATGCACATACACACATGTACATACACATACATACATGTACATGTACATACACACATGTACATGCACATACACACATGTACATGCACATACACACATGTACATGCACATACATACATGTACGTGTACATGCACCTACACACATGTACATACACATGCACACATGTACATACACATACACACATGTACATGCACATACACACATGTACATGCACATACACACATGTACATGCACATACACACATACATCTTCTCTATGCTTTTATCTTTTCCTTTTTTTCTCTTGCCCAGTTTTCCCATGTTTTCCCAGTTTTTCCATGTTGAGTTTTGTGTGGCAGCAGCCTTGCATCATGGAATATTACTTTGAGCTCTTAGATGATCTGCTCCTCCTCTCCTGTTCTCCTCACCTAGAAAATTATACTGTGGCCTAATCATGCTTATACTATAGTAGATGCTGTGTCTTGACTGCATTTGCATATAAAAAAACGTGACGGGTCTTTCAGAGCGCACGTGCATGTAAGAGATCAGAAACACCTCAGCCAGCATAACTGACCATCTCTGTGTATGTGGGTTTTTTTGTTTGTTTGTTTTGTTTTTTCGAGACAGGGTTTCTCTGTGTAGTCCTGGCTGTCCTGGAACTCACTCTGTAGACCAGGCTGGCCTCGAACTCAGAAATCCACCTGCCTCTGCCTCCCAAGTGCTGGGATTAAAGGCATGCGCCGCCACCGCCCGGTCATCTCTGTGTTTTTAAGTTATTTTTCTGAAAACTCTCACAGCCAAAGCACAGCAGATGGGTCTAATGTCTGGAGGGTGTTCAGTGGAATCTACAGGGAGGTGGGCTTGCTAGTCTTCTGTGTGCCACTCCCTGTGTCCTCTAAGTGCTACCAGAAGAGGTAAGTCAGCTGTCACCACACCTTTGATTTCTTAAGAGCAGTCTCATTTATGTGAACAACTTTCTAATCTTTAAGATGTTTGCAGGCAAAACAGCACACGGTTTCCCTATTTACAAACCCCAGTTGCTTAAAAAACAAAACAAAACAAACAAACAAAAAAACCCTTCCAAACTATAAAACAAATGCAAGTACTCGGGTTTCGTACCCTTTTCTAGATTTTAATGGTTTTCATTTAAGCTTATAGTGTCCTCATAAGAGTTTGGCTGTGTATAAAAGTACCAGATTACCTCACGGTTTTTCATCTTTCGAGGACTTTGGTTTATTGAGAGACTAGCCCCAAACTCCCCATCGTCCTGTTTCCACCTCGACACCGCTGGGGTGACGGGCATGCACCACCATTCCTGACTTGGTCATTTTTCATCTTAAGTCTGCCTTGCCTGCTCTCAACAGGTCTCTCTGGTGCTGGAAAAACAACCATAAGCTTTGCTTTGGAAGAGTACCTTGTATCTCATGCCATCCCATGTTACTCCCTGGATGGGGACAATGTCCGTCATGGCCTTAACAAGAACCTGGGATTCTCTGCCGGGGACCGAGAAGAGAACATCCGCCGGATTGCGGAGGTGGCCAGGCTCTTCGCCGATGCTGGCCTGGTCTGCATTACCAGCTTTATTTCTCCATTTGCAAAGGTAAAAGATTTGTCCCAGGGCAGGAGCTGGCATCCTCATGTCCTTCCTGGGCTGTGGCCCTCAGCCAGTGGAGCAGGGGAGATCCAAGAGCCACTGGGCTTTCACTTTCCCATCCTTTCCCCCTCTCCTGGCGGGTCCTCTCATTTCCTCTATTGGTTATGTAAAGAGAGTTGCCTCACCGCCAGAAGCCAGTGCCCCAGTTGACATGAAGCCGTTATGGGTGACAGTCACCAGGGACATGTGGTCAGAGTTGAATGAGTTGAGCAAGAACCCCACAGCCTGTAATTTCAATTGTCTGCTTAGAATGCTTAGTTCCAAACAGAACTGCCCAGTGCCCGACCCTGGCTTCTGTGGGCTTAGAGGGGACAGAACTGACCAGGGCATCCCTGCTCTGGTCTAAAGCAGGATGTTTCTAGCAAAGCCTTCCTGTGTTAAGAGCTCAGCCCTGCTAAGGGGGAGTTGTGTTCTGCAATTCCCTCTAGAAGGTCTTCAGGCAGTGTGCTTGTGAAAGGGACATCTCTGGACTTGCTGAAAGGACTGTCAGACACACACCTCCTGTAATCCCAAGGGAATCAACCTCAAGAGTACACTGTGTTTTGTCATGAAGAATCTCATTGGGAAATTTCATCCTAACCCATTTTTCCTTATAACAAAACACCAGACCTGATGATTTATGAAGATTAGAGGTTTATTCGGCTTGGGAGGCTGCAGAACCGAAGAGCATGGTGTCAGAACCTTTGTCTGATGAGAGCCTTATAGTGTGCATCTTGTGCAGACAGGAGCAAGTGTCAGGCTCACTCAGGCATGGCCCTCCCCCTCCAGGCTATCCTTGAATCTCTTGACCCTGCTTCAACTTCCCTGGTGCTGGGTTTATGGGCATACTCTCCACTCTTGCTCTCTTTTTATATTTTTAAACACGCGATCTTTCAGGATCGTGAGAATGCCCGCAAAATCCACGAATCAGCAGGACTTCCGTTCTTTGAGATCTTTGTGGATGCACCTTTAAATATCTGTGAGAGCCGAGACGTAAAAGGACTCTACAAACGAGCTCGGGCAGGAGAGATTAAAGGTACGAGAGTAGCTAGCAGCACCTCTCACAGTTACAGACCCCACTAGTCTTCTGATTCTGTCTTTGGAAATCTATCTGAACTCTGTGTCCTGGCTGCAGAAAGCACAGACTTTGGAAAGCTCAGTGTGTTCAGAATGGCCATGGCTTTACGGGATTATCTTTGAAGAACTCTCACCTCAGGCAGAAGGAGTGACATTCAGAGAAAGACACATGCATCCAGATTTAGGAATAGGTCTCAGCAAATTTCTTCCTTCCTTTCTTTCCTTTTGTATTCTAATCAGCAGTAGAAGGCTTGGTTTCTGCCAGATGTCATTACTAACTTGAGGCTTCCCATTCTGAAAATACAGCTGTGTCTTTCTTATCTACAGCAAGGGGTCAGAGATGGAAGCTTGAACATTTCAGTCATAAGTCACATTTTCAGCTTAACACAGTACTGCAGTCTATGTTCTGCCTCATGGGTTGACAGCATTCTTCCCGGGCACGGATATGACTTGGATCTCCCACTCTGCAGGGTTCACAGGCATCGACTCTGACTATGAGAAACCGGAAACTCCAGAGTGTGTGCTGAAGACCAACTTGTCTTCAGTAAGCGACTGTGTGCAGCAGGTGGTGGAGCTTTTGCAAGAACAGGTAGGAGGGTGGTGCTCATGAGTGCAGTGTGTGTGTGTGTGTGTGAGAGAGAGAGAGAGAGATAGAGAGAGAGAGAGAGAAAGGGAGGGATGAAGGGAGGGAGGGGGAGAGGGAGGAAAAGAGAGAGAGACAAAGGGAGGGATGGAGAGAGGGAAAGAGGGAGGAAGGGAAGGAGAGAGGGGGAGAGGGAAGGAGGGTGGGGGAGAGGGAGAGAGAAGGCATATGTGTTGAAAGATAATCTGGGTTTCTTTATTGAACGCTTCCCCTTGCCAGTCTCATTTGTAACTATTGCCAACTCCATTTCCCACAGAGCATTGTACCCCACGCCACCATCAAAGGCATCCATGAACTCTTTGTGCCAGAAAACAAAATTGATCAAGTCCGAGCTGAGGCAGAGACTCTCCCGTCACTACCGATTACCAAGGTAAGAAAACAGAGACTGGTCAGAGCTTCTTAGAATCTAACATTATAAACTATTATACAGTTCCTCTTTAAAACTACTGTGTGTGTGTGTGTGTGTGTGTGTGTGTGTGTGTGTGTGTGTGTGTGTGTGTGATACTGCATGAGTGGAGTCAGGACAACATGTAACAGTCAGTTTCCTTCTTTTCACCATATATGGGGATTGAACTCAATTTATCAGGCTTGGTGGCAAGCACCTTCAGCCACTGAGCCATATTGCAGGCCCTACAATTCCTTTGATCATAAAATATATTGAGTAAAGGTGAGACTGTGAAGATACATTCCCACCCCCTCACCTCCTCTCTGAGGAAATGTCTCACAAAGGAAGGCCAGGTAGAGAAGCTGATGGAAGAAGCAGAAACCATGTTTGCATAGGACAATCTGCATATAGCTCCCCTACACCTTCATTCATGCTGAAATAGAGGCAGGATGCCAGGGATTGTTAGTTAGCAATGGCTGAGAAAGTTTGTCCAGAATGTGAATGCTTCTTAGGCAATTGTGGAGGAATACAAAGCACCGATCTGAAACAAGAAGAGCTTTTCTGCTGTGTGTCTGCTGATTCTGTTGTTATATGTACATCCATGACACCTCAGGAAGGGGTGCTGTCTTGGTACGATGCTTCTATAGACGCAAAGTTGTTACTGTGAAGAACATGATTTTGTGGCTAGAACTGATTACCACCTCTGTAAAATGACAGCCACCACAAGCAAGAATAAAATAACCAACAGGTCAAAGATAAGCCTTTTGAGAAAGTTTATAACTACAGTCAGCTCACACCTACGAGGTGTTCTGTGCATACATATCCTCTTGGATAAAGAAGTCATCCTCAAATATGTCCTCAGAGACCCATATCTGAGATGCAAAGCCCTATGGGAGACCAAAGCCAAGTGTGGAGACTATAAGATACAAGATGAGCAAGAACAAGTAGTTCTTCCAGAGGCTTCTTTTGGAGATTGCACCCATCCCATATCAGGGAGATTCCAACCTGAGGAAAGACAGAAGCAGCCAGTTGCATTGATTTCATTGGCTGGAAGACATGAGATAGAACCCCAAATACTGACTGGTTTGTAGCATTTTTATGGATCAGTCTTACTTGTGCGTAAAGATGGTCAAGACTCTTGTCTTAGTTAGGGTTTTACTGCTGTGAACAGACGCCATGATGAAGACAACTATTATAAGGACAACATTTAATAGGGGCTGGCTTACAGGTTCAGAGGTTCAGTCCATTATCATCAGGGGGGGAACATGGCAGCATCCAAGCAGGCATGGTGCAGGAGGAGCTGAGAGTTCTACATCTTCATCTGAAGGCTGCTAGCAGAATACTGACTTCTAGGCCGCTAGGGAGAGTCTTAAAGCCCACAGGCACAGTGACACACCTACTCCAACAGGGCCACACTTTCTAATAGTGTCACTCCTTGGGCCAAGCATAATAAATAATCACATCTCTTTTGCTATTTTTTATTCATTATGAATTTGGAGATTTAACAAGATGGGCTAATAGGGTACTTGCTTTTGGTAATTAGGACCTCACAAATGATTTATGAATGGAGACCCTTGATTTTGTAAAATGATCCCAAGCACCTCTGTACTCTGGAAAGACAAGTGAACACATCTAAGTGCTGTGAGAGTTCCAGCAACAGGATGGCCTTAGGGGTAGAGGACTTCAGGACCTAATGAGAGGTTCTCCAGGTCATACGGATGACAGGAAAGGTTTCAGAGCAGTGACCTGTGTGCTGAGTTTAAAAAAATCCATAGAGCTTTGAGAGTGGTCAAGAAGATGAAGTACAGCCTTTATCATCCTATCAGCTGAGAGGGCCTGTGTGTTTCGACCACACAGTGCCTTGTAGTGTTGGTAAATTGGTCCCAATTGGGGAGCAAAAGGAGATGGGCATCCCTCCATGACTCCCAGGGGCCAGAGCTTAAACGGTTTTTATATCATGATAATAACATCGGCCTTTATCTTTGAGTCAATGGCTTGCTCAAGTCAGTCAAATGACCAGTAAGTTCGGCTAACGAAAAAGGACAATAGAACCAATATTTTGTGAGGAGACTTAAAAAAAACAAACCAGTGAATTTTTAATTCTCTTGCCCATTATGGGAACAGTTACAGCTGAAAGTATTTAAATAATCTCAATTTGGAGTCATGTGATTGCTCTTTTATAGGAGCGTTCTAGCCTTGTATATACATAGCTGGCTCCTGAACGAGAAGTTCACAGAGCATGTGGGAACACTTAGACCACAGACATGCTTCCTTCATCCTCCTGCCACCTGAGTAAAAGAGATGGCGACCTACCCTGAGCTGTGATGGACACACCCCCTTGTTTTCTGTTTTCCAGCTGGATCTGCAGTGGGTGCAGATTCTGAGTGAAGGCTGGGCCACTCCCCTCAAAGGCTTCATGCGGGAGAAGGAGTACTTGCAAACTCTACACTTCGACACTCTCCTGGACGGTATGTCTTACCTTGTCTCTCACTGCTTAGCCCATGAGAGCTACAAGTTTGCACGTGGACAGGACCGCTAGCCTCTGGGTTGAAGATTCTAGGGCAGCAGTATTTCGACTGTTTACCGTGTGTCCCTTCTATTATGTCTGTTTTCATTTTTAGGATTTTTGTTTTTCATTCTCAAAGGATTTATTATGTAAAGCCAAGCTGCTGAGAAATGAAGGCTTTAACTTGTACACAAAGCCAAGAAAGCATTACAGCTCTGAGTTCCTGTGTTCTTTGCTGGGTCTGATATTCAGAAGCACCATTTTGGGGCATCCAGGAGTTTAGATCCCATCACTGTTTACTGACTCACATGGATGGTTCCTTCCTCCACATTGTACCCATTGCATGGTCCCTGCTTTCCTTGGTGGCTGCTGAGCTGTCAGTGCTCAAACCCTCACATGACAGATGAAGATGGTTTTGTCCTCTGAACCCTGACAAGGGACTGTAATGGTAACTTCTAGGCCACAGGCTAATGACTTTAGAAAAACACTGATCTGGTCCAGGGCGGAAGCAAGTGCTATTCAGAACTCCAGGCTGTTCTCTAAGAATTTCCTTCCTGGAGTCCTCTGAGGTCCTCAGACATGGATTTTTCTATTTCAAGACCATGGGGGAAGTAGCTTCCAGGTGAGGAAGAAATTCTTTAGAGTCTCACTGAACATATAATCCCAGACAAGGCTTTAGGCCTATTAGGAAGAAAAGACCAAATTAAATGTTCAGTCTTTGGAAAGATTCTCTGGGACTGAGGCTGCTGCCTAGGGAATGCCCAAGAAGCAGACTTCTAAGACAGACCAGAACACAACTTTATTCCTCTGCTGTAACTAAGCACACTCCATAACCTGAAGCCTTTGTTTCTGAGATTAAGTACCATCCCAAAAGGACACTTTATTTAAGCCTATCTTGCTGTAACAGGCACTGTTTCGTTTCATTTTTATAAAATCTCTAGAAATTACCCACTTCTCAGAGGAGGACATTGCACTCAGAATCAATGACTTGCTCACGTTTTAAAGCTTATAAGTGATGTCCCACGATCACAGTCAAAACTCCTGTCTGGCACCCCTTCTACACAGGCTCCTCTCCAGGTGTCCTTTCCAGTGGACTAGGGAAGGTCAGGATACCCAAACGAGGAAATCCAACATTTTTCTTGATATCTTGTTTTTGGCACATGCTAAACACAGCTGCATCAAGGATATACTGGACTCAGCAGCCAGCCATATCAGAGAGGTTGACTCTGAGGGAGCATCCAGGCTGAAGCTGTGACCACGGGGAAGCCACATTGAGAGAAGAGGATTCATTCCATACAGTGTCTTGTATAAGAATTGCTCCAGAAAGAAAAAAAAAATGCCTGAATGGCAGATAGGGCTGCTGGGGTCAGTGAGGTAAAGGGTCCTTAGCCTCAGATCCTGGATTGTAGGGAAGAAAACAAGCATCTTATGTCTTCTGCTTTGAGAAAGGAATGAAAGGAAATGCTCCTGGGTTGAGGTGATAGCTTTTGCTAGATCCTCAAGAGAGTGACTCCAAAAGTTGAAGAATTCCAGATGGAGATAATCCTTCTGGGTGATTTGGGAAATAGCTCTCCACTTCCTCTCCTATTGTTTCCATTTCATTTCGTTTCTGTTTCCCTTAAGGCCTCTAACCTGGTCACTTTCCCATTACTACGAGTCTCCGAGCTCCAAGCCCCTGCCTGCTTGTTCAGTCTCAGCTCTTTCCAAAACCTAAACCCTAGTGTTTGTGGGAATCCCTGGGGTGTGTTTCCTATGTCCCCACATCCAGTCTAAAACTATGTGCTACTTGCTGTGTGGATCTCTGCATTCAACAGTCATTCAGACATCAAAGTTCTCAGCACCAGTGTCTGTGAATAGGAAAATACTCACTCTCTTTGTGTCAGCCTCAGATGAGGACTCCCTAGGAGGTTGCTTATGCTTTACAGCAATTCTTTCAAAATCTACATGGATCGCTCTATCCCAAGGTGCCACCATGGCAAAACACTCATACACATAAAGTAGAATTTAAAAATAAAATAAAATAAAATAAAAAACAGAGGGCCCAGGCCTATAATCCAAGCCAATTTGGAGGATCACACGTTCGAAGACAGCCTTGACAAGTTAGTTAGACCCTACCTCAAAATAAAAGGGGGAAACAGGGCCAGGGACATAGCTCTGTGGTAGTGCACTTGACTACCATTGGTGAGGCTGTGGGTTCAATTCTTTGAACTGAACAAAGGTATCATGGGTATCAGACTCTCTGTGTCTTCGTTTAGTTTTAGCCTAGCATGAGGCAGAATATAATAGTGGGTAAGAGTGTGAACTGTGACGTTAAACTGTTCTGGATTTATCGGTCAGTGATCAGCTGTGACCCTACCTAACAAGTCAACTCACTGACGTTAGATCTCTGATCTGCGTGGTGATGATAACGGGGGGACTCACCTCCCTGGGATACTGAATGTTTAAGAAAAATGACCCATGCAGTAGTGAAGTTCCAGACATGTTAGCTATTAACAGAAACAGACCCCTGCTACTGCCGGTTAGAAGGACTTGGAGACCTAAAATGGCTTATCAGCTTGAGCCAGCCCAGATAAGGTCATTGGCTAGCAACAACCCCTCACTGAGCATGCACACACCGGGCTTCCTCTAACTGCAGAGGACAGAGAGGCCCTGAAAACAGAGTGAGCTTGTAGAGCAGACAGGATGGCTTCTCTGCACCCGCCCAATGGCAGAAGTTTCTTCTTGCCACATGCCACATCACTTTAAACCAATGCACTCTGAATTCCCTGGGCTGTGGCATCTGGGGGAGGCCACTTGAGCCCACTATACTTCCCATGTCATTGTCTCCTTGAAGTGCATGCCTAGTGTGCTGGTTTTTAAACTAAGAAACACTTAAGCTCCAGAAAGTGACACATATATCAGAGTATATGTATATGAATATATGTCTCAAAAGGCATGGCAAGGTATCACCCATATAGATATTACTTCATCTTTGACAGTTTATGAAGGTTTGAGTCACCATTGACACTGAAATATTTGTGTAGCCACAACCAAGAGCCACACAACCATAGCCACACAGCTGCACAGCGGCACAGCCACACAGGCACACAACCACACAGGCACACAGCCACATGGTTCCATCTTTCTACCTTCAAACTGTGAATCTCTTGGTTACTTACAATCTGCAAGCAACAGATACCAATCTCACTCTGCCTCCTAGGAAGTATTCTGTTAGTTTTAATTTTCTAAAAGGTTCCCATTTTACCCTGAGTCTAAAAATACCACTCAGTCTATTTAGTACAAAACCAAAAGAAACTAGTACAAAACCAAAGTTCCTGCAAAGTGACCATTCTTGTGGCTTTCTCTTTTCATATCAATGTCTCCTCTTATTTTCTTTCTCACTGGAAATATAGTTTTAGGGTTGTCACAGACTCTCCTAGCATATATATCCCACATGCTATTGGGTGTTGGGATAAAGAGAACTCCAGTATTTAAAGTTTTCATCAGCTAACCTTCCAAGGCAGGGATCTACCACCAGTGCTTGCTAATCACCCAGGACTAGAGTTTGAGGTAGGTTATCCTATTTAACCTGAATGAAGCTGTTTTAGTCTTTATAAGGAAGGAAGTGTTACAAGGGGCAGAAATCTCACCTGAAGCTTGCATTCGAACACAGGTCCTGATGATCCCAACACTTGGGTTTACTTTCCTGGGCATACTGTCAAGTTCTCTAAACCTCGGGCTTCTACATTCTACAGTTGTTCCTGTCTACACATTCTCCCAAAGCCTTGTTTGGGAACCATTTAGCAGGACTGCCGAAATTAAAAGCGTGGCTAAAATATGTTATAATTATTTCAAACAGATAATCTGTTGAACAATATTTTTAGAGTGCACTGATGAATATTGCACAAAAATGGTGTTACCATATATTTGGTGTCATCTGCCTGTTTTTAAAAATAGCATAAGAAGGAACTGAAAATATGTGCATGTTCCATATGTGAGGTGTCATAATACGAATTTGTTCCTTGACATTGTTACTTCAAGATCCTCGTGGTGGAGAGCTGAAAACATGTTTCTTGTGTTTATATTTCTCTAGGCATGGTCCTCCGTGGTATGTACTTCAATTTCCAAGTAGTTTAATTATTGTAATTAGACATGTCACATTAATTTTTTTTTAAAAAATTATTAAGGATATAATTTAAGAATCCAAATTAACCAGTTGGAATTGCTCAGTTCATAATCCAACCAGTTACAGTAAAATCAGACCACATTGTTCTGTTCATTCAAGTACAAACAACAGATTTCTGGATCAGATGAAACTATTATATTTGTAGTGTTGAGTTTGGCTGACATCAGCAAACATGTTTCTAAGTTACCATTGCACACTTTGTTCCTGAGTTCTTTTGAATTTATGATCATCTAATGAGTTCTGGTTCCCTTTTAGTTTCAGAAATTTGAAATTAAAATTTTCTGTCACACTTACAAAACCTTTATAGTCAGTGAAGAAATCCATTTTAGATTTAAATAAGTAAACGTATCTGGTTGGACTGTGCACGGCCATTCTTTGTTTGTTTGCAAGTCTGATTATGCATGGACTTAATTGCAAGCTATCATAATTGATGGTTACAAAACTAAAAATAAATATACACTTACCGGGACTATAAATTTCTACATTGTACCAGAATGAGGTAAAATTCCTAACGTATCATTTGTCTCACAGATCACTTTTATTATTTTTTTCCTTAAAAAAGCCAAGTTATGCAATAAAGGTTAATTTTATTTTTTGGAGAGAAAATGTCTATGCAGCCAGTAAGCAGATTTACAATGCTAAAGAGAAAAGACCTGACAATTGTTTAAAGCAAAAGGAAAATTACTCAATTAGACAAAAAAATATCTGTTGGGTTTCCTATGGTTAAAACAACAATACTCTTCCAAAAAAACGAGAGAAAGCATAATGAACCAATCAAGGCAACTCTCAACAGAGCTGAGACACATGAAGGGAAAGCAACCAATCAAGGTGACTCTCAACGGAGCTGAGACACATGCAGGGAAAGGCCAAAGGCTCAAGGAACGTCTGAAGCCACAGAGAATGCTCAGCATAGCTCAACTGTAGCATAGGTTTATGTATAAAAACAAACTAGAGGGCCTGGAGAGATGGCTCAGTGGTTAAGTGCACTTGCAGCTCTTGCAGAGAAGACTGGGGCTTGGTTCCTGTGGCAACCATGTGGCAGCTCACAACCATCTACAACTCCAGTTCCAGAGAAGCTGACTCCCTCATCTGGCCTCCCACACATACACAGTATACAGACATACATGCAAGGCAAAACATCCATGCATATGATATTTAAAAAAAAATAAGCTTTGTTTTGTTTTTAAGTGGAGAAGAGGCTGTGGACAAGGTTCAGTGTTTTAGAGCATGTTCTGCTCTTACAGAGGATGGGAGTTGGATACTCAGAGCCCATGTTGGGCATCTCACAACCCTCCGTAACTCCAGGGAATCCAATGAATGCCTCCGGCTACCATGAACACTCACACTCCCTGCCCATACCATGCACAGATACATATAATTTAAAAATAAGTCTTTTAAAACAATGTAGAGAAAAGACTAGCACTGTAATAAGGTAGAACACTTGCCTCTGGTACATGAAGTTCAATCCCCACTAATGCCACAAACATACATTCATTCATACGTACATACATACATACATACTTATATACATACAAACAAAAAGCCAAAAGCAGAGGAAGAAGATAGGGAACCACGTTAAGCACGTCCATGCCCACGCAGCTCTGCAGTCCCGGGCATATGGGAGCAGTTGGTGTTATTACTTAGCAGCCGTCCTGTCCCTGTGAGCCCACGGGTGAGCCTTTTATCTTGAAAAGAGGGAGAGTTCCACATCACTGTGGACGTTCACTAAGCACATTCTGCAGCTGGAAAACAAAGTGTCCTTGGGACATCAGTGTTGCTGGCATGCTGCAGACGGGGCAAGGCTTCCTGATACTCCCTTCGACCTTTGCTTTGCAGTTTGCTTTCCTTCCGTCTAGTCAAGCCTGTATAATCAGAACAGAGCATGGTGGTCTCTCTCTCTCAGTGGTGTCCTCAGTATGCCACCCACAGAGAGCGTGGCTTCTCCTTAGGACTGGAACATCCCTGGATGTGTTGCTCTTTGTTAACTCCCCCTTTCCTGCTAGCCTTAGTTGTGGTTCGTCACAGACTTCAATTAATACGTATTTTACAGCTGTGTTTCCCCAGCAACCTGGGAAGGTACACACTGCTACCTCGTTTTTTTTTTTTTTTAAGAAAGCCCCACTTTAGCCAGGCAGTGGTGGTGCACGCCTTTAATCCCTGCACTTGAGAGGCAGAGGCAGGTGGATTTCTGAGTTTGAGGCCAGCCTGGCCTACAGAATGAGTTCTAGGACAGCCAGGGATATACAGAGAAACCCTGTCTCGAAAAACAAAACAAACAAACAAACAAAAAAACCAAGAAAGCCCCACTTTGAGTCTGGTGTTCTCTGTAAAGGGCCTGGCTGCTCCTGCTTCCAGTGATCTCTGAAATGGAGTTACTCTGACAGCAAACTCTTCCTGCATGCTATCTAGTCTGCAGTCTATAAAGGCAGCTTCTGTATAGCGCAGGCTTTTACAGCAGACTCGGAGTCTGTGTTGCTGGCAGTTGGTACTTGTGATGTTCTTTTAGGTCTTACTAACTTGAGAGAGTTGGGGAGGACAAAGTGGTATCCCTGCAACTGGGTTTTGTAGCTGCTGAGGAGTTTTATGTCCCACAGAGAACAACACAGATCTTTACCTGTCAGAAGCATGTTAAAGCAATTGCCATCTTGGGACTTCACTGACTTACGTTTTCTCACACCCACAAATAAAACAGGAGTACTTTCTGCTCCTGGAGGGTATCCCCTCGGGTCTCCCCTCCCACTCTCTTCTGAACCCTGATCTCACTTTGAGTGTTTAGTGTTACACATCAGACCAAGGCCCTTATTTTTTAGCTGTAGGACAGTCTCATTAGAACACTGAGCATGCGTACAAAGGGAGATGAAAGGAGGCAGTCTCATCATTCTTACACTATCTGGCATCATTAAGAAATGAAAGCCAGTTTTTAAGTTTCAAAATAAAAAGCAATTACACCCTCTTAATCATTTTATCTAAAAATTCTTCAAAATATTCATACTTATTTGGGTGGGAGTGGAGTTTGAGACAGTCTGAGATACCCCAGGCTAGCCTCAAGCTCACTATTATAGACCAGGATGCTCTGAAGTCCTGATCATCCATCCTATCTCTACCCCCTAATGCTGGGCTTACAAGCAGGCATGGTTACTACATCTGTTTACTGTTCATATTAAAACAACAACAAACCTTTAACTGGGCCTGGTGGTCCAGGCCTCTGCTCCCAATACCTAAGAAGATCTATCAGCAGTTCAGAGTCATCCTAGCCTGTTAGTTCTAGGGCAGCCTGGGCTACAAGAAACTCATTCTCAAAAACAAAACAACAACAACAAAATAAACCCCACAATTTTTAAAGCCTCTTATTTACTCACATGACACATAAAAATTGTTTGAGTTGTACCTCAGTGGTACCCTGCTTGCCTAGCATGGAAAAGGCCTTGTAGATTTAATAATCTATAGCTTCACTAAAACAAGCAAACAAATACACATACAGAAACACAAACACAGAAATGTACACACTCTATAGTGAGAGACCTCTATGATTTGCATTTTTTAAACTCATTTTAAATGATTTGTCTATGTGTGAGCATATGCACATGGGTACAGTTTCCCACAGCAGCCAGAGGCTTCTGACTACCTGGAGCTAGAGATACAGGCATTGTGAGCCGCCTGACAGGGTCCCCTGCAGAATGTACTCTTAATTGTTGAGCCATCTCTGCGGCACCCTGCAGTTGTTTTTGTTTGTTTATTTTTTTTTTGTTTTGAGACAGAGTAACTAATACTCTACATTAAAATATACATATATGTATATATATGTATTTATCAGTGTTCTCCAGAGAAACAACCAAGAGAGAGAAAGGGGGAAGGGGAGAAGGGGGAAGGGTAGGAAGAAAGGGTAAGGAGGAGGGAGAGGGAGAGAGGGAGAGTATGTGCGTGTGCACATGCACACACATTTTCATTAGCTCATGTGACTATGGAGCCTAGCAGGTTTAAAATCTGAACAGCCAGGGAGAGATGCAATTTCAGTGCCAGGTCATTTTGCTACCCGAGTTGCCTCTTCTGGGGAAATGGGTCTTTTTTCTCCCCAGGTTTTTCACTGATTGGATGAGACCCACTCATTTAAATGTCAATGTCATCTAAAAGTAAAATCCACACAAACACTGGGAATATTTGCTCAAATGTCTGAGTACCATGGCCCAGCAACATGAGTACAGAGAGTTAATTGCCAGTTCTTCTGTCTGGCTGTTGACATGTTATGAAGTTGCAGCTTCTGTGTTATATGCAGAGGAATTAGAACGGCTAGCTTTCTCTACATTTCTGTTAAAATAAGAAACTCAGCGGAGGTGGGAAGATCTTACTCTCTAGAGAAAGCACATATTTAGGAAAGTTTAGTAAGTGGCTTTGTACCATCTATCATGTTCTTTTTAAAGATTTATTTATTTTTATTATACATGTATGTCAGTGCATAGGACTGCAATGACTATAGATGCCAGAAGGGGACATCTGACCCTCATGAAATGGAGTTGGAGCTGGTTATTAGCTATTGTATAGGTGCTGGGAACCAAATCTTCTTTCTCTGCAAGAACAGCAAGTGCTCTTAACCACAGACCACCTCTTCAAGCCCCACACCCATGGTTTTTGAGTGATGGGTTTTTATTGTAGCTGAGCTAGCAAGACTGTTATTCCCAGATAAGTGAGCTTAATTATCCCTTAACAACATTTGAAGATAGAGCTGTATCTGGACTGAGTGGCCATCAAGGGGCTGCTCGTCTGGGGTGTGAACTCAGATTTTGTTCCCCTCTCTTTTCAGTTCAGTTATGTTGGCAATGCCAAACACGGACACAGGTTCATCTCCAAGAACAAGTGGAGCTTTCAGTTTGGCCAGTCTTTATTTTGTTTCATTGATTTTTAAAGACTAAGCTTTGGGCTGAAGAGATGGCTCAGTGGTATAAGAATATTTGGTGCTTTTTAAGAGGACCCAAGTTCAGTTCTAAGCATCCATGTTAGGGGGCTCACAACTGTCTATAACTCTAGCTCTGGGGGATCTGAAGACCTCTTCTAGTCTCTGGGTGCACCTATACACACACACACACACACACACACACACACACACACACACCCTAAATAAATAAGTAAGTAATCTTAATAACAAAAGACTTCACTCTTCATAGTGCAGTAAGGCTAGCACCAAGGTTTTAAAAGGCAATCCACACAAAGTATCTCCATCTTGTCCTCAAAGCTAGGTCACTTACTGAAGCAATTTATGTCAGGAATTGGTCAAAGAATTCCTATTAGTCTTGAAGAAACCAGAACAGTAGCCTGTCTGTGTTGGCCTTGGGTCTTGATGCCCAGAAGAGGCTTTAGAAGGAGGACTGTACACATATTAGCCATCCCTGAAGAACGCCTCACCTGGAATATGGCACTCATGCCTCAAGGGGGGGGGGTCTTTCTACAGATGGAGTCATCAACTTGAGCATTCCCATCGTACTGCCTGTTTCTGAGGATGACAAGGCACGTCTCGAAGGGTGCAGCAAGTTTGCCTTGATGTACGAAGGTCGGAGAGTAGCTCTATTACAAGACCCTGAATTCTATGAGCACAGGAAAGAGGAGCGTTGTTCTCGTGTGTGGGGCACAGCCACTGCAAAACACCCCCATATCAAAGTAAGTATAAAACCTTTGCAAAGACTTTTTAAGAAACGTTTGTGTGCGTGTAGGTTCGGGGGAGGGAGGTACACTTGTAGGTATAGGTGTATAATTGTATGTGTGTCAGAGGTCATAGGACAACCTTGGGTGTCATTTCTTAGGGTGTGTGCCTTCAACCTTCTGTTTGAGACAAGGTCTCTTACAGGCCTGGGGTTTTGCCAGGCTAGACTAACTCGCCAGCAAGCTTTCTGCCATCTTCTTGTCACTTCCTCTCACCTCTCCATCACTGAGACTACGTGCACAGCTTTTTACATGCATTCAAGGGGTCAGAACTCAGATCCTCGTACTTATGAGGCAAACATTTTACTAACTGAACCATCTTTCCAAGTGGAAATTCTGTTTGTTTTTATTTTTGTATGTGTACATATGTGATATATGGTCATGTGTATGTGCGTGCTTGAGAGTGTATATTCATGTATGAATGCATGTGGAGGCCAGAGAGCGACACAGGGTATTTTCCTCAATTGCTCCCTACCAGATTTTTTTTGGGTCAGTGTCTCTTACTGAACCTGGAGCTCACCAGTTTGGTTAAGATAGCTGGCCAGAAAACTCCAGGGCCTGACCATCTCTGCCCTCCAGGGCCGGTAGGACAAGCATGTGCCTGTGAACCCAGATTTTTACATGCATTCTGGGGATCCAAATTTAGGTCCTTCCTCATGTCATGTTTATGTGGTAAGACCTTTATTGCCTAAGCCATCTCCCCAAATTCATGGCTGAGTAAAGAATTTTTTTTTTTTCTGAAACCAGGTACGATGGTAAAACCCTTAAATCCCAACACTACAGATCAAGAGGCAAGATCAGAGGTCATCAGTTAAATAGCTAGCTTGCTAGTTTAAGGCTAAGTTTGGTTACAGAAGACTATGTCCAAAAACAACACAAGCCCCAGCCCCACCCCAGAAAAGTGCATAAGGACCACATTAAATGAACCCAAGCAACCCCTGAAAAGAACTCAGAGTTCATGTTCTGTGGCCAGCGAGAGGGAGTCAATAACATCTTTCTATAAACAGACCAGTACACACAGTGGCTAAGTTCCAAGAAGATACTACATTGTCATCAGTGGCTGTTCATCTGACTAGGGTGAACGCTCCTCTCTAAAGCCAAATCAAATTCCCCAGCAACTTCTAATAGCATCTGGTAACGCAGTGTCAGTGAGGAGCTATCAAGGGGTCACTGGAGATAGGTCACTTCCTGTACAATTCTGTGAAACTGAATGCAAATCCATTCTTCATCGGAGACTCGGGCATCAGGGTGGAAGTGAAGAGAGATACTACTAATCTAATTTGACTTCCTCAGTTCCCCAGCTTGGTTAGCTTTCAAGCTTTCGAGTGACACCATGAGCAGTCAAGTCCCAGAGGGCTCTCAAGGACCTTGAGACAGACAAAGCACACTGACCTTCCTTTGTCTTTTGGCAAAACGACAAGGCCAAGACATATTGAACAGCGTTTCCAACCCTATGACCTTGAAGAAAATTACATTTTTTTTTTCAGTTGTGAAATGTTACAAGATAGGAAAGACATTCTCAAGGCCCAGTTAGCGGCCCCTGAAGCCTTCTTATTGTGAACAGAAAAGCTCAGGGAGCAAAGGAAGCAGCTCTTCCGCTTATTAGACACAACCATCAGCCTTCAAGGTAAACATCCCTTCATGCACAGGCAGGTCAGAGTCGTCTGAGAAGTTTTCACTTCGAGTCTGGCAGAAGGTCGTTGAGATAGCAGCTCCAGAAATACTACATTCTAGCCTTCAATTACATTTCTGACCATTTCTTTTATGATTGTAATCACGAAGGTTTGGGACCTTATCTTTCTGCAGTGACCTGAAGCATAACGGCCTATCATTATCTCTGCTCAAAGATTTCTCCTCTTTAGGTTTAACCCACATGACCCAAAGACATAAAACTAACCTCAGATAATGTCTAGGGGGAACTTGAGTGACTTTTTTTTTTCCATCTTGTCTTGCAATATATATCAGCAGTTACAGTCAGTTTCTCAGAAGCCACGGAGATTGGTGGTGTGCCCTATGTATGTCTTTGACAGAATTGTCAGTGACTCTACACTATTGGTCATTAGAGGAACTAATGGGAAAAAAAAGTCATAAATAACCAGAGTTAAAAAGCAAAAAAGCATTCACCCCCATATACATTACACTGGGGTTTCCTTTCGGTAAGGCATATTCAAACAACACATGAGTTTTATTGGGTAAAATAATTCTTATTTAATATACTGAAACTCATACTAATACTTTAACATAGCTTTTTTTAAGAACACAAAATCTCGTAATGGTTTTATTCACAAAAGGAACTGTGGCCCTTGTGTTTTCAGATGGCATTGGGAATTTTTGCAGAGAGTTGTCAGTTAGCAAGGAAATGGCCTCCCTCTGTCCCACCACTCCATAACTATGGGTACTCCTGAGCTGTCGTAGAGTTCTATTGCTGTGAAGAGCTGTGTGACCATGGCAGTCTTATCAAGAAAAGCATTTCATTGGGGGCTGGCTTCCAGTTTCAGAGGTTTAGACCACTGTAGTCATGGTGGGGAGAATGGCAACACACAGGCAGACATGGTGCTGGAGAAGTTCTACATCCAGATCTGCAGGCAGCAAGGAGAAAGAGACATTGGGCCTGGCTTGAACTCTGAAACTCCAAAGCCCACTCCAGTGACATACTTCCTCCAACAAGGCCACACTTCATAGTGTCCACCAAGCAACACCACTCCTCGATGGCCAGACATTCAAATCTATAAATCTTTATAGGGGCCATTTGTAGTCAAGCCACCACATGCCCCTTCTACTCAAGAAATCTCAGAGTCACAAAGTATGGAACCAAATGGCATAATCTCAGAGTCACTGTGAGGAACAGCTAGAATGTGTGGAAGTAATACTCAGAGGAAACCCATGATCTTACCCATAGGTGCTCTCTTTTACCAACCAATAATTTTTCTCACAATTCCCTAGTCAAGTAAGTAAAAATGATCACTCTCATTTTAAAGATGTAGAAATCAGGAGAACGAAGTATGTCTTCCCAATGGAAGGCAGGATCAGAGGTTTTTGTAGCTCTATGTGCAGCCACTCAACACGTAAACAAAACCTACATGCCATTGTGATGTTTTCTTTTTCCCTTTGTTATTCAATTATCAAGTTCTGGCAGCTCTTCCAAGTATTACTGAAACATATTAATTCACTCCTGTTCCAGTTTGGGTCAGATTTCATGTAGCACTAGCACCCATACATTTCTCTAGACATTCCAGAGCTGGTCATTACATCATGCTAGTTCCTTCCAATCTCACAGCATCATCTTATTTCCTCCTTTCTGAAGTCAGTCCTCCCTCGATTCCTAGATATGACTCAATGGCCTAATACCTACAGCAAGCAATACTGAGGGTGATGCTAAAATACCAGCCTGGGAACCACTGATGAGAGCTAGGGGATGTGGTAGGAAAGAAAGCTTGGTTTTCTCAAGTTTCAGGTTTTGATACTGACTTTGGTACAATAGCTGTGTGCGCCTCGACTCTGGCACTTCCTTTCTGCAAAGTGGCCTCCTTATCTGAAAGCAAAGATGTTTAAACTTGCAAGATCTTCAAGTCCCTTTTAGTGTTGCCAAGTGTCTCAACCCACCAGCTTCCAATAATGACACAGAGACTTACATTTATTTATGAATGCTTAGGCCTTGTAGCTTAGGCTTCTTAACTAGCTCACATAACCTAATTAGTCCGTTTATTTTCATCCATGTTCTGCCACATGAGCTGTTAATTCTCCTTCAGTCCTTCCTCCTGTTCCTTCCTCCATGTCTGACTCTTAGATCCTCCCATGTCTGGTTCTTTCCCAGATTTCCTATCTCTGCTCAGGTGTTCTTCTGCTCCTCTCCTGCCCTGCTATAGGCTGTCAGCTCTTTATTAAACCAATCAGAAGGTGATGGAGAAGGCAGGTGAGGCTTCATGAAAATAACAGTACCAAAGTCCAGACAGCTCTCTACTCGCACAGAAATCAACATTTGAAATAATACAAAGACAACTTTTACACGGTGCGCAAGATTATCCCAACACTTTAAGCCTTAATCAGATGGCTTGGAAAGGAGTAGGTAATCCTAAGCTCTAATAATGTTCCAGACCTTCCTTCGTGGGAGCAGGACACAGTTCTAGGAATGATCAGAGCACCTTAAGCACGCGGCTACCTTGAAAGTTGTTTCCCCCTCTTCAGAAAAGACAAGAAGACAGTTTTGGCATCGCTTGTCACAGACCTGCCTTTACATTGGGTGGTGATCAATGTCACTTAAGTGCTGGCTTCATTATGAAGTAGCAGTCCAGTGTAGGGTTGACCCTTAGAGTCCAGAGTGTTATGGAGCTCCTAGGGATTTGGGTCAACTTTTTTAAAGTTTTCTTTAAGCAGTGAGGACAAACTCATGTATAGTACTAGTCTTTGAAAATATAAGTATACAATGTTTGCCCAAGGACAGAGTTTAGAAAGGAGGCTATGAAAACAGAACTAAATCCATTGCACAATTACCTCCAAGGTTTCTCAAACTTAGTACCATGTCCTTTTATTGTTGTTGTGAAGGCTGTTTGTACCACACAGGGTGCCTAGGTACATGCTTTGGTTGCACTAGATTCTAGATGGAGCACGTGCTTTCCTACTTCACTTGTGACAGTCAAACTGACTGGAGATACCAGATGTGACAAAAATCATGCTAGCCTAACCTTCCATTCTCTGAATCCCTCTAGGATGTAAACCTAGTATCTGCCTATGGGGAAGCTGAGCCAGAGCAACACATTGCTACCTTCTCTCTGCTAGGTGCTTCATGGGTCAGCTTTCTCGGTCACTCCTGCTTCCCTCTACAGTAAAGACATCGTTGGTGTCATTTTGTCCTCATCTGAATGAAAACATACACAATTTGTCTTTTTGTGACTTACTTCACTTTCCATCCCCAGGGTTATTTGTGTTTTGATTGTCTTTTTATGACTGTCTTACTTTCTCAGGATTATCTGTGTGAAATCATTGAGCAAGATTTCTTTCATACTAAAAGCTGAATGGTGTTCCATGCTGTATGTGCGTGTGTATTGTACCTCTGGTAGACATTCGGATTGCTGTGAACACTGAGTATGCAAATCTCTCTTCAGGATGCAGGGCTGCTGGATCAAAAGATTGTTCTAAGTTGTTTTTTTTTTTTAATGATGTTTGTGTGAGTTTTTTGAGGCATGCTGAGTGTGTGGACTTCAGAGAACAGCTTATTGGAGCTGGTTCTACAAGGTGGGTGCCAGGGATTGAACTCATGTCATCATAGTTGAGTTAGCACCTTTACACAGAGCTACCTCACTAGCTCCACCATTTTAACTGTGCCTTATTTGACTTATCATTGCTCTGGAGGAGTTTTCTGTTCTTTTTAGATATGCTATCACTCTGTAGCCCAGGCTGCCCTCAGACTTCAATCTCCTGCCTTGGCCCCCTGAGTGCTGGTATTATAGGCATGTACCACTATACCCAGGTTGTAGGAGTGGCCCCTTGGGATGTAGTAGGATTTGGAACAGTCATCCTGTAGAGAGATTTTTGCCCTATTGTCTTTTTGTTCAAAGAAACTTTTCAGTTCATGGCAGTCCCTGCTTTCTACTTTTGCTTTGTTAGTCTGTGCTTTGAGTGCTATAGTCAAGAAGTCACTGACAACCTCGATGTCATGAAGCCTTTGTTCCCTTTTCTTAAGCATCTTATAATTTTTATCCATTTTTATTTTTGTACTTGGGATATAGGTCCATTTCTTTTTGAATGTGTCTAGTTTTCTCAACGTTTGCTCAACAGGCTGTCTTTTCTCCCCAGAGTTGTCTTGACATCCTTGTCAGAGACCTTTGAGAAGATGGGGTATTAGTTAATTGTCTTTCTTGCACTGGATACATGGATTTTGATCCACTTTGTTGTTCATTGGATTCTCTTTTTATTTCTAAATTGGGCATAAATGAAGGAGGCTGCCTCTGGGGGTAATTTCCATGGAAACTGTGCTAAACAGTAACTACCTGGTGGGAGAACAGAACAAAATTTATCCTGAAGGTTTCTGTTTTGAAGTTCTATTGACAACAATCTAACATGTATTGGATGGTATTAGGAAGGTGCCAGCAGAGGTTCTCAAAACATGGTCCATGGAACTCTAGCAGGACTCAATTCTTAGCAGAAAACTCCCAAGTGAAGAGCCAGGTAACAGTCTTAGGCAATTTCCCAGTGTTGCCATTGGCATGGCTGGTACAAAGCAATAAAGGGCAAACTGCTGGTGCTTCACCCAATTTTCACAATTGTACTAAGAAACCAGCAGCTTCACTGGAGGACGATCTTTATGATGCTGTAAAAAAGACTCTTGTGTCCATATTGTTGATTTTTTTTCCCCATAACTCACACCAGAGAAATGCAAAAATCACTTCTGCTACAAACATCAAAACTCAATGGCTGGTGTAAGAAAGAGTTCTTGTCAAGTTGTTTGAGTACTGGGAAAACAGCTATGTCTCCCTATCTCACAAACACACACACACACAGAGAGAGAGAGAGAGAGAGAGAGAGAGAGAGAGAGAGAGAGAGAGA